AAGGATGCCAGTCAGCCACAGTCAAGTAATACTGGTTACAGTAACACCATTTTAGATCTTTATTTTCCAAAAGGTATTAATTGTAATTAAAATTGTCTTTTACCAATTAATTCCCTTGCTGTGGTTTTAGCAATGATCGACAGCCAGCTGAATATGAGCCAGCAGTGTGTCCAGGTGGCCAAGAAGACCAACAGCATCCTGGCTTGTATCAGGCATAGTGTGGCCAGCAGGAGGAGGGAAGTGACTGTGTCCCTGTACTTGGCATTGGTGAGGCTGCACCTTGAGCACTGTGTTCAGTTCTGGGCTCCTCACTACAAGAAGGACAGTGAGGTGCTGGAGCATGTCCAGAGAAGCTGGTGAAGGGTCTGAAGCCCAAGAGCTATGAGCAGCATCTGAGGGAATGGGCTGTTTAGCCTGAAGAAAAGGAGGCTGAGGGGAGAACTTCCCGCTCTCTACAATTACCTGAAAGGAGGTTCTACTGAGGTGGGGGTTGGTCTGTTCTCCCACTAGCAAACAACATGACATGATGAAATGGCCTCAAGTTGTCCCAGGGGTGGTTTAGTTTAGATATTAGGAAAACGTTGTCAAGCAACTGGAACAGGCTGCCCAGGGAAGGCGTTGAGTCACCATCCCTGAAGATATTTAAAAGACCTGTAGATGTAGGCATTTAAAAGATGTAGATGTGGTGCTTAGGAACATAGTTTAATGGTCTAATTGGCATTGTTGGGTTTGCAGTTGGTCCCAATGATCTTAAAGGTCTTTTCCAGCATAAATGATTCTATGGTTCTATTAATTTTAACTGGAAAAAGAGCAAGCCTCCTAAATTGACTACATCCCAAAATGTTAATGCATTCACAACTTAAAAGATAAGTGAACACACAAAACTGTGGTAATAAAATACTTTACTAAAATATCATACATTGAATAGTGAGCTCAATATTCTCATGTTCTATGCAAATAACGCAAACACTGTCACACATTTTATATTAACATTATAGAGTAACCTGCACAAATCCAAGAAGAGCAGCATTCCTGTCTGATCCATTACAGACAGTTAGCCCTTGTGTTCCACTCAGCTTTTACATAAGGCGAATGTTTAATTTCAAAATGTTACTCCGTATTCTCAAAAGTGCCTAGAAGGGTTACACCTCCTTAGTAATACTGAATCAGAGGAGATACGTGACCAAATCCTCCATGGATATTTTTGAAAATCCTAACTTAAACTAAGAATATGTTAGTTGAGTTAGAATTGTGAAAAAGCTTTTCATTTCTCTGTATCCAAAAATTATTGTGTCGGAAGAAACAGAGTATGCTGAAATGCACTGCTCTAACCAGACACTATCAACTCTGTTGAGTTTTACCCTCCTTCCTACTAAATGAAATGCAATGGAGTCACTTTCCAGAATTACTCGTCTAAGCTATTGATAAAAAAATTATTTCATGATAATCTGACACAGAAAGCATTGAAATGTTAGGATACTGCACTACTTTTCCAGATAAACTACCCCAAAATTGCCTAAATTCTTTCTGTGCCTGTACAGAATTTGAAAAATAAGTATATGTACACTGTAGTATTAACTTTACTATTCTACCTGTATTTCTGATCTTTTTGTGATGATCTTTCGTAGGATGCTGCATATACTTTGGCAAAAGGCCACTAATACTGTTTTGATTGTGTTAAAATCAATATCTGAGGCCTAAGCTGAGAAAGCTGATTTCATTTAGCTGATACATACAAAGTGACTAGCACAGTGGGTTTTTTTAGATAAATAAATTTGCCTTACATGCAATCATTTACTTTTCTTAATACACCTTTTTCTTCCAGCAGGATAATCTTATATTTTAAGTAATTAATTATTCATGTACTATATTCTTGTTCAAACCTACTGAATAGAGAGAAATATGAATTTAATTTCTAAATTATGTGAGCACAAAGAAAACAATATGTTGAGGAAAATAATGTGCAGCAACCTAAAGCATTTACTTGGGAAGCTACTTTGCAAAAAGGAAGGGAACAAGCTATTTGAATCCATAACATTTAAACTTGTACTCATGTGTTCCTCATCTGAGATTTAACAGGAATAGGCAAATGCTTAGGACAGACAGGCCATTTGGTGCTTAACAACACATATTCAAAGAGGACAAAGTATCTGAAATGCAGTGATAAAGAGAGGCATCTTGCATGGGTCACTAGAAATTTCAAATAGACTCCTTGGAAACAGTATCCAGAATGGGATGGTTTCTTAACACATGCCCAAGGGCGTTATTCCCAATGGCACGGTAGCAGTGAATTTAGCCCCAAAAATGTAGAAGTAGCATCTGCAGATGTGATTAACAGAGAATAGCACCATCTTCCCATTTAGTAGCTACATTCAAGTAATTAGGAATTAAAATGAAAGCTACAGTCAAGAATTCGAGCAGAACTTAGCCATCAAAGGTAACTTTTTAATGATACAAAGCCACAAACTGCTCAGGTAATGCCACCCACAAGCAACCATTGTTCAGGGAAGCAACCCAAAATAAGTCCCCCAATGGGAGACTTTACCCTTTGGCCACCAACTTAGCCTGACAAAAGACCAGCAGCTGCACCATCCCAGGAGCCAGGCACCACCGTACTTCTTGGATCTCAACAGCTAGTTGAGGTGAGCAAGTCAACACATACCTGGACAGATATTCTGCCAAAATACAGTCTCCCTGAGACTGCAGGGCTGGACTAGTCCTGCCAGCTGGGAGAAGGCTGGCACCAGGCACAGAGGTGGAAGTGAGACCTACAAGGGAATTCAGTATTATTTCTCTGAGAACAAGAAGAGGCCAAGATGAACATTAGGCTGCATCGTGCTGTCCCAGCTCACAGGCCCTCTGCCCCCACAAGAGAGGGAGCTAGGAGGGGCCAGGAAGTATCCTTTCATGCTCAATTTTTAAAATGTATATAAAAACAATAGCCAGTTTGTACCTTGGTACAATAGCAGTGAATGGCAAAAAGACATTTCTACAGGTTACATGAAAAGAATAGCAATTTAAATGCTGTTAAGAGGCTTGATCAGTCTGACCCGTCGCAACTACCAAAGGCAGCAGCAAAAGTAGATGTGCTGCAGCAGAGCTTTCAGTCCAAGGGCAGATAGAGCTCCAAAGTTGGAATGGGAGGTGGAGAGATGCTGTTCAATAAGGAGCTAGGCTGCCCAATCCCTTACATAGGTTACATAATAGGTAAAGGCAAAGATCTCCTCGGCCATCTTCCTGACCACCTGGATAGCCATATCCCTGCAAACACCATATAGGCAGCTCTTTTCTGAATGGGAAACTTAAAATAAAGGAGATTGTTCTTCCACCAGATGAATAACCTTTATTTCTTCTATCAGCAGTTGTCAAAAATAAGTGCATGAGTTCAGGTTACTCAACATCAGAAGAAAATAAATAATATATTATTACTGTTATGAAATACTTTTCAGGATGGGGCATATGTCTGCTGAAAATATTTATCCAGCTCTTCAGACACCAACAAATAAAAAGAGACACTTGGACAGCCCTCACAAACTTCAATTATAAGAAAATAAACAATAAAATTTAATAGCCCCAAGTTAATGAAGTACAATTCCCTGCCTTTCCTCCATGGTTTTTACCTCACTGGGTATACATCCCTACCCCCAGGGCCCTGCCATCCCCGGACAGTGTCTGGCCATGGTTCCTCTCACTGGGCCCGATCCTGAACCCTCCCTGCTGTCATTAGGGCCCAGCCATCACCGACTTGTCCTCAGACCTACCTGTCACCATGATACTGCCTTATCTCTCTCAGCTGGACATGGCCACCATCTCTGGGCCAGTCCTTCCTTCTCGTGTGGCTGTGGGGCAGAGCCCTGCTGCCTGCCAGATCCCTTCAGCTCCTGGCTCAGCTTCCCCTAGGGAGCAGCCCCACTTTTACTGCTCCATGAAAAAAAACATGAACTTCTTTCTCCCTTCCCATAGCCCAAATGTATTTTTCACAGCATCTGCTCTAAAGAGTCCATTCCTTATCTCTGAAACCTACAAATATCCTAGTGATTTCATGAGTCCTTTTTTGGTAATGAAATAAGAAATGAGAATCCCAGCCTGAATTATTACTGGAGCATATTTTCTCATTAGGTCTTGTTTAAAAGAGAAAAATCATCCTGATTTCTCCCTTACATACCTAGTTCCTCATGGGGAAAAATGTCTAAATCAGGTGTACTGTTTATGTTACTTTAAGTGACTCTAGTTTAGCCTTTGCAAACCATTTACAGTAGATTTCTAGCAATCAAAGTGAGACAAAAATGTAAAATATATCTCTAGGGTTGGTTTTAATAGAAAGCCCAGGACATTCCACTGAGCATGGGCCCTGGTCTAGCACATATCATTTTCATGGGACATATAGGGAAACTGGTGCCTTACACATTCACCGAAGGACCTGCAGTACCTAAGGTAGTTCCAAGAGTGCTGCATGGACAAATTCTTCCATCTCTGCAAAAAAAAATTAAATGTCTAGGCTGAAGGAGGGATCTGTGCCAGTATGCAGTGCTGCCCACACAGAGCTGGCTGCAAGGACAGGGCTGCAGTTCCCTATGCCAGGAGGGGAACATCCTGACAGCTACAAATACCTTTTCTTAAATGCCTGTACAGACAGATGCAAATGCAGTAATCTATCAAGGAGAACCAAGAAGAGGGTGCAGATTTTGTTTTCTGAACAAAAGTACTTTGACTTTTATTTTGGCACTGCATAAATGTGCCCAGTCCTGTAGCAGCAAGATTTGGAGGGCAGGTTTCCAGACCTGTATCTTTCAGCAAGAAAATAAGAATTGTAACTTGTATAGACAGGGGGTTCAAAGAGATGGGAGTGAATTGGAGAGAAAGAGGTTTGCATGTTTTGGGGCAGATATTGAGCTTAAAATAGCTATTACAATTCTTTAATGTGATGGATCTGGAGTTAATTGAGAGTTTTGTTGGAGTCAAGAGCAGGCCCCAATTTGTTAACTTGTGCAGAAAAGGTGCTAGAACACTCCTCCATGATTTTCTGTCACTAAGAGATCCCAGTAGCTCAACTGCTCAGATGGTTCTACTTCATGGCACATCACAATTTTCTTAAAGCGAGAAACAGAGAACTCAATTTTTTCTGGAAAGAAGGTCTGCTCCAAATGAAGCTCCTCTAGCCGAATTTTTAATTTGGCAAGACATAGTCCTATGAATACATCCTCCAGTTTAATGAAAGAAACACTCTCTGAAACATTATAGATCTGACTAGCAACATCAGTGGATAAAACATAGCCAGTCCCAGAACAAAACGGTGGGTAGGTCTTTCCTGGGTACTCTTCTGTACTCACGTACCACTTACTCTCTCTTGTCCTTATGGGGATCTCCTGCAGTTTTAAAAAGCCTGTGAATAATCCAGTCGTCTTCTTTTTCCTTAGAAGCAACTCTGTGAGGTAAAAAACATTGACAAACACATCTGTGTCTGTTTTCATCACAAAGCTGGACTGGTGACAAAATCTGTGAATCCATTCAATTCCCATCATAGTCTTCAAAGTCAAATTGTAATAGGTGTCTGTAAAATTCTTTTGAATAATGTCCTTGTACTTTTGGCTTTCAGCAGCAATCTCAGCCTGCTGGCTGATGTTCACAGTGTTTCCCAGGAGGAAATATGTCACCAGGTGCTTGCCAGCAACTGTTCTCTCCTTCCCCCAGGTTTGCCGGATGGCCATCCTGGCATCCGCATGGTGGGGTGAGGATGCCACAAGGAGGACGAGGAAAGGTGGGTTCTTGCCACAGTCTATATCTGGGAGCTGCAAGAAGTTTCCTCCAATCCTCCTAAAAGGCTCAGTGGAGAATACGTAATTTTGGCTGTTTTCACAGAACATGCAGTATTCAGTCAAATTGTTGTAAAAAACCCAGAAGGTAGCACAGCTGAGCCCTACAAGGCAAATGAACAGCCTGAATTTTCTGAAATCCATCTGAAATAAAAAGAAGGAACAGCACATTAAAAACAAAACAAAACGAAAAATGTATATGTAGCTCCTTTCAGTGCTGCATGCCAAACACCCTCCATAGGGATTTAAAGCCAGGTCACCCCTAATTGAAAGCTACCTATTTCAGGACACTCACACACATGCATTTCTCTCAGTATCATTACCATATTTTACTGGCAATCAGATTCACACTTATGTTTGTTTGAATCTGCCTCCCAAGCCAGCATATCCTCTGAAATCTACACAGGCATGTCCACTGATAGCAGGTTACCTTTGGCACATGCTTCAGACCTCCTCCCCATTTTCAACATCTTACAAACCATGACTTAGACCCACCAGGGCTCTCACGACCCAGAGAGCGGAGGAGCAGCAGATTCGTGCCCACACCAAATGAGAGAGAATAAAAGCAATAAGATTTTTAAAAATACCAGGTTTCGCCATTTGTTTGGAAAATGTCTGTGTCCCAGAGCCAACAAGTGCTGTCCAACTGGTAGACCCAGCCATGTTCTTCCCATCTTTGTCTTTTTCACATCCAGTGGGGCTCTTGCATTGACTGAGAAACTGCTCCGGATCTTTTTGCTGGAGGGGCCATGAGTCACGTTTTTGATGCTGGGTCAGCTGCTCAGAAAAAAAACGTCAGTGGGTCAGATTATTTGGATGTTTCACCTTTTGCAGAGTGCAGGTGACTCATTAGGGCATGCTGAGGAGAGAAGGGGGTTGTCCATAGCCTCCCCCCATAACTTCTAGGTGAAAGAGATCCAAAGATAACAACCATGTTAATTGGTTCGCCCTTGTAAGAGAATAAGGTTCTGTGTATCTGGTTACAAATCTACTAAAAATTTTGAGATGAGAGGGAAAAAAATTATCAAAGCAAACCCTGTGACCTTTTTAGGCCACAGTGCCAAAAAAAATTATACATCTTTATAAATTAACCAGAAGAGAAGAGTATAATGCTTCAGTTAATTATTCCATTCACATATAGGGCCCCCAACTACTATGTTAGAGCACTAGAATGATGGTGTTGTTACCAGGGGGAAGGGCATTCTCTTCTGCTTCCCTCTTTCTTATTAAAGGAATGAATCTGGCTTCCCATCTAAAAAAGCAGCATGTGAAGTTCATAGTCCCCAGAGTTGTAGATTTCATGGAAATTTGATTTCTGCCTTCCAACCAGCAATAGTCTGCCTGGACTCCCCAAAACCATGTTGATGCCCTCCTTTTGCTCAGATTTCACTTTCCAAGTAAAGAAAAAGTTTTGCGTTGCAGGCTTAAGTTTATATTAAAGGCCAGACAGATGTTCCTGGGACCAAATCCAGCTCATTTTACCCAAAAGAATAATCCCATTAATTTCAGCCAGTATTCTCAAAAGCATGAAACAAGTAGAACTGGAGTACTGATTTACTGAAATTCCTCCCACAGTGAAATGTGATTTTGCTATGATTCCCTAACAAATATTGAAAATATTGCAAAAGTTCACATTTCTTCTGCCATTTATATTTAAATTAACTTTATCTTTATATAGAGTATTCCTCAGATCTGTTTCTTCTTGAATGTCTTAACTCACAGTAGTGTCCACAGACATATTCAAGGTCAGGCTTGATGAGGCTCTGAGCAACCTGGTCTAGTGTGAGATGTCCCTGCTTATTGTATGGGGGTTGGGCTAGATGACCTTTAGAGGTCCCTTACAACCCAAGCTATTCTATGATTCTGTGATTGCCAGCTCATGTCTAGCTTGTCATCAACCAGCACCCCCAAGTCCCTCTCCTCAGGGCTCTCAACCCATTCTCTGCCCAACCTGTATTTGTGCATGGGGTTGCCCTGACCCACGTGCAGGACCTTGGCCTTATTGAACTTCATGAGGTTGGCATGGGCCCAACTCCCCAGCCTGTCAAGGTCCCTCTGGATGGCCTCCCATCTGTCCAGCATGTCAACCACACCACACAACTTAGTGTCACCAGCAAACTTCCTGAGGGTGCACTCAATTCCACTGTCTGTGTTATCAGCAAAGATGTTAAACACACTTTTAAATATTTTTGCTTCTTACTTGTTTCTGGGTTTGGACACTGGTAACAGATCTAAAAAGCTATTTAAAAGGTCCCTCTTCTGGACATCTGGGAGAGCAGTCTTCCAACTTAGGTTCTGGGACGTATTTAGCATACTGCCTACCCAGAGCCAAACTGTCCTCCTTTTGCAGTCCATGTATGAAGTAGCATGCCTTATACAGGTATATAAACACATACACACATGCCTGGGCAATGCAAACATTTTTAAACTTATGCAAAATGTATTTTATAAATTTTGTAAGTTGCACACACGTACATGTATCGTTTCTCAGGAGGCCCCTTCCTACCACAAATGGGTAGCCTGTAGCCTTGATAAGACCCATACACTTCCTGGAGTAAAGTCTCATTTGGTTCTGACAGCATGAGAGCTGGAAAATACTAGCTTTTATCATCAGTTTAATCACCAAAAGGAAGTCCAAGCTTATCTGAAACCAATATAAAACATGTTGGTTTTTTTCTCTAATGAAACATTTGAAATTACCCACAGAAGTATTTGCAGAGAGGTCTGGGGGGAGGACTTGCAATGACCCAGGTTCCTAGTTTGATGTCTCAGCTACATGCAGGAGGGAGCCATGCAGACAACATGCTGCATCCCACTCCAGGGACCCACCCCAGCTACAGCTCCTCACAGCAACCCCCAGCCCTGCAGAGCCAGCCAAGCCCCCAGACCAGGTGCAGTGGAGGAGTTTCAGCTTCCCTAGCCATATAGGACTCATATTCTGTCATAATCCTCTTTCTTCACCGTTTCACTTTCCAGTAGCCTTTCCCCAGTTCCCCAAACTCTTCCTCCAGGTAAACTCAGCAAACCCATGGGAGTGCACTCAGGTGCCTCATTTAATGGCCCAGCCGTTCATTCTCCCCCCTTGGAACTCAAGGAGGGAATAGCTGCCCTGGATGCCTCCAAGGCCAACTGGAGCCTGTGCTGCAATGGAGGTGGGGGGCTGGCTCTTGGAAAAGATGCATTTGCAGGTTACAGCCTTGGTGTCCTGAGGTCCTAAGGTTGGCAGTGCTTTCTGATGCTGACATTTACAGAAGAACACCCAAGGAAAGAGTTAAAGAGAGATGCCCAGCTTCCTCTCACTGAGGCCATTTTTTCTTTTAAAACCATCCATTTAATTCTTGCTTTCAGGTGAATAAAGAAAATCTTGAAAGTTAAAAACCTTTTATACTAAGATGGTCAGGTCAGTTCCTTGGGCTGTTTAAGTTGCCATATCAGAGAATTAAATCACCTTGCTATTGGCTCCTCTCCCCTGGAAACCTGAGCCCCTGTACTGTCCCTCACCCCGCGTGGGAACAGCAGGTTTAGATTCCTGAGTGGAACAAATGCTCTCTCTCCCCTGGGAGAACTGCTAAATATGAAGAACATATGGAAAACAACAGATTCTGTCACGTTTCAACAGGACAACATGGCTGTGGCTGCATTTGGTTAAACCATCACTATCCGACATAAAGTGTCTTGCTCTACAGCAGGGATATGAGCACAGGTAGGTGTGATGTGGCCTGTGGTTTCTCTGTCACTGTATCTTCCCTCCTTTGCCTGCATCTGACAGAAAAATATGGTCTGTGAATCAAGATTCCAGCCTGCACCCATGTATCTCTATGGAACAGTCCTGGAGCTGTTAATATGAAGGGAGCAAAAAATCTACAGGAGGTGGCCTAGAAAGCAATGGAGACATACTAGGAGTCAGTCTCCTTTCCAGCAGGCATTTTGAACAGCACCCAGTATTTTTTCACCAAAACAGATCTTCCCAGTTTTCTAGACAATCCATTTGCATTACATTATGCTTTATTCTCCTCTCTGATCTGAGTCAGAAATTCCAGTTCATAATTATCTCAAAGTTTTTTCTGTCTCCAGTTGTTCCAACTGGGAAACATTTTATGTAGGGCATCATCAAAAAATGACCTGCTTTGTGTCCCGGAGAGCAGCTTGTTTAAACCGACTGGAGTGGCCTCTCATGGCTCTGTGCAGATCCAAAGGAAGCCTGCACAAAAGCCTGGGACATAAGGAATGTGGGCTGCAGGAGCCTGCAGCCCGGGGCTCCCCTCACACGTGCCTGAAGTGACGCATGAAGGAAAGGAGAAGGTGGTCAGGGTCTGTGGTGCAGATTGGTGGAACTGCAGCCCATCTCTACCTGGCAAGTACCTTTTTCTAGCAGTGGCATGAGCTTCTTCCTGCATTCCTCCCCAGTAAGCAGGTTGGCTCCGGGGTCTCTCTGTTCACACCACTGACCCTTCTGCAACTCCTTCATGTTGCACAGTGACAGGGCTATGGTAACTCCTGTGATGAAGCCTACTTATCCCATCAAAATTATTCTGACACCTCCTTTAGGTCTCTTAATGAGTATAATTATCTAAACAGCGCCAAGAGATCAAGGTTATATGCCATATGGATCAGGAAAAGCAATCTGGCCCAAGGCAGAGAGACGTAAGTAGGACTAGAGTCCCCCTGAGAAATAGATGCAAAATATCAGTTTAAAGAAATCAAGTTTTCTGAATTTTTCTGGGGCAAAGCTGCAGTCATGCCACTGAGTTCAGTGGACGACCTGCCTTGGCTTTGCATTGAGGTTGCACATAGGAGCCAGGGAATGACCCCAACCACAAACAACTGAAGTGCTTTTGATCACCTGCAGGAGTCCCCACTTTGTAAACAGAGACACAAGAGCTGCATCAAGACAGACTCAAACCAGAGGCATAATTTAAGTGCAGAAACAGGAATTATGACCTTCAAATATGGCACAGTTAAAGTGATACTCCCATTTTCCTTTCCTAATAATTGAAAGTAACATGTGCCCTGGTATAAGCACTAATAACATCTGCTAAGGTTTGAATTTCCTCAGAATAAAGTCTCTAAATTGCTTTCTCAGAAGCTCAGCAGGACATGAAGAGGGATTAAACATGCATAGATAATAAGAAAATGTCAAGTGCAGCAGGAAACATTTATTTTTTCCTAAATGCAAGGGTTTCAGAGGAGCAGCAGCCAGCTTGGAGCTCTCAAAGAGGACGTCTCTGGCAAAGCAGTGAGTTCAGCACTGGAGAGACTGGGAAGGCAGGTGAGTATCTGGGTTCCCCCTTAGCCCGATCTCAGAAGCCAGGGAGGGATGACCAGATGCTTCTGGCCCAGAAGCTTTTGGCTGTCCACTCCTGGAGCAGGACACTGCCCAGCACCTGCCAGACCTCATCAAGAGCAGCAGCTCAGGCCCCACACGAGACTACCAGGTAGTGGTGAGCCTCTACTCAAAATTAAAGGTCACACAGGGACAGACTACCCTGCCTTGTGCCCTGGGAGCACTGGCTGGCTCCTTCTGCCCCATGTGCTCAGTGGGGCAGATCCGGCAGATCCTCCTGAGCCAGTGGTGCCATTTCAAATCAAAATACCTGCACATGAACAGCCACGAGACAATGAGGTTGAACATCTCCTTCCTGGCTCTTTAAAATGCCACTTTTCAGGGGGAGATTTTTACTGCAACTAACAATGTCCGCACCCAAACCAAATGTCAAGAGAAGGAGGATGGAAACCTGAAAAGGGTACAGGATAAAGGAAAACCTTTTTCTTCTGCCCTGACTGTCAGACCACTGAAAACGTTTTTCCCTTTGCTACTTCTCACCAGCCTCTGCTATCAGGATTGTCTCTCCTTGTCAGTCTGTCAGTGAGTCAAAACAAGTCTACTCCATGCATGCCAGTTTTGATCATTTAAGCACTGAGAGTTGCTAGGCACTTTATTTACAGCCAGCTCCCCTCAGTTTCATTTTTTTTCTTTCTTTCTTTTTTTTTTCTTTTTTCTTTATTTTATTTTATTTTTTTTTGTCTCTTTGGATTGTAGAGGGTTTTTGCAATGCTGCTGTGGAGGTTAGCTTTCCTTGCTCTTCCCCAGGCACCTCTGCACTGTCCCTGGCCTGCCATGGAGTGTGCATGGGGAGAAGGGCTCTGAGAGGTGGATGCTTTTCATGTTTAAAATAAGCCTCTGGCTCTCCAGAAAGGCCACGATGTTTTACAGCCTGGGAACCGACACTGAGGAGCAAGTGAGTGATTCGCCCATGATCACAGACCCACAGCAGGTGTCCTCATCTCCAAAACCTAAGTGATCAGTTAGACAACAGATAGAAAAGGAGCATTGTTGTTACTGATTTGCAAATCCTTCTGTGCTGCCTGGCTTATGTCCTGTCATTATGTTATTAATACCCATTTAGCTGATTGACTTTGTAACTTTAACAGCAGATTAAATCTTCTTTGTAGAAGGCTGGTCTGCTTTGTTTTTTTGTTATCATTTTGGACTTCAATAAGTGAAGAAAAAAATAATTTAAAAAAATAAGAGTAGAAACAAGTCAAGTTTTGAAATTAATAGTTCTAGGGGGAAAAAAACCCCAAAACATATGAGAGTGATAGGTTGCATTTTAGATTAATATTAATCCAAATGAAATGCCATGCATGTATACATAATACAGTGTATACATATATCTGCATATAAATGTATTGTTTTTAGCAGCACAAGAAACACAGCCCAAACACTGGTATAGTTATAATAAGCAAAGAAACTTTTTTTCCTAGCTACCAAAGAAAAACATTACCAAGAAAAGGAGATTTTTAAATAGAAGATTGTTAAAATTCAGTAACTGAGTAAGAGTCCCTGAAAGTCTCACCTTCCTGCCCGAGGTCACCTCACATCATTCTATGGCAAATACAGTTTCAGAAGAGCCACCTGACACACTGTAACTCCTTAACCTTATCTCTTCAAAGAAAAATTTCCACCGTTTTCTTCTCCAAACTGTGTTTTCTGTAGCACAGAGGGTAATCTGCTGATAGTTAACCACAGCGCAAGCACAAGCATATAAACATAACATTAATATGGCAGCTGTCTCGGAGGCAACGTGAGGGCATTGGAGGAGTTTTCCATGCAACCTTCATCCTTTAACAAGGTGCATCTTTATTATTACGAGGGAAAGAACAAACATTTGCAGGTCTCATCCACTTAAAAGCACTGTCTTCCCAATTCAGATATGATGTGTCCCCTCGGGTGTGGAGATTTCCATTACTGAAATGGTTGCCTCTGAGCACTAAAATCTGGTCTCTGGGTTCTGCCTCTGAGACTACTCAGGGAGCCAGTGCCTCAAGGAAAATAAGGACTGTGGCAAAAATATTCTGGCAGAGGGAAGGTGTTTGTGGCACAAGGATCTTCTTAATCAGAAGCTGAATCTTCCTCTTTATTTAAAATATCATAAAGAGCCTTTAGCTCTTGATGCACCTTGATCTCATCCATCCAACCATGACAACCTGCTCATGACATTCATTTGGAAAAGCCAAACAACATCCTCTGATCAAAAGGTAGTTTTGCTCCCAAAACCAGAATTAAGTTTGGCAGGAGGTGGAGCTGCTCCCTTAATGTCACAAGAAAAAAGCGTTGTATCTGAAAAGTCTAAAATGTATTTCCAGGGATTTCAGCCAAGTCAAGAAAGCTTACCTCTATTTTAAAATATAATTTTGCCTTTCCAAAATGTCAGCTTGGATATTTAGTAAGGCCAGATCCCTTTTCCAGGAAGGAGAAAGATGCTGCAGTGGAGGTTGCAATATGGGCTGATAGGCAAAGTTCAGACTATCAACACAAAGAAACTGTACAGGACAGTTATTACAGCCCAGTCCTAGGTGCAAGTGTTGGGTTGTTTTTACCTTGTTAAGAGCATATTCAGACAGTTTTGACTTAACCAATTCCACAGGTGATCTAAACACAGCTGGCAGGCAAACCAGCAGAGACATCCTCTCTCTGACAGGCAGAGACAGCAGCAGTGCCTCTGGGGTGTTCACTCCTTGCTCTCCCACAAGGACTTTTTCTCATCCTGGTAGTCATTTCTTCCAAACATTCAGCCTAAAAGTTCTCTTCTTCTGTCTCAGTCTTACCTTCAGTCCCTGGGTACCAAACATCCCTTTCGGGGTTTCTCATCCATGCTAATAGTCTTGCTTCTTCTAATGTTCCCCCTATTCCTACAATACCATCTTACTTTATCACTGATGTTCATGAGCATATTTATTTAAGAATTGTCTCATGAATCAGCAATTTTACTACAATTGCTATTTTACCTGCTATATTCCAAACTCCAGATCTCACCAAAGATAAGCAATGGTCCACAATGGGATGAATCAGAGCAACCTTATCGTGTAGAAACCCACATAGTTCCTTGTGCTGAATAGCAGCAACAAAGTCCAACTCACAGTCAAGGTATTATCTTCATAAACAAATAAAGCAATGAGAAAAATTCTTCTTTAAGCTCTTGCTGTCAATGGTAGGACTCCAAAAGCCTGGTTCTCTGAGCTATAGAAGCAAAAAGTTATTAAAAAATAGTGTGCTTGTGTCTGTGTCGACCAAGCAGAATTATTTCTTGCATGCTCACTTACAATTAGTGGTACACATTGGGTTTATTTCATCTTACTGAAAAAGAAAAATAAACCTAAAAATGGTATTTGAGACAAGATGAGGGTCTTGCTCCTCTGACCCAGAAGCAATCTCAAGATACGTAAAGTAAGAAGTCAAAGAGCACTGCAGAGAAGAGATACCTATGCAGATTGTTCAAACAGTATTCAAAACCAGAAAATTACCAGTAAAGACATTCCAATGTCACTCTTAAACCTTTCATAAACAGAGTTCTGCGCAGCCTTGCCAGTATGAATACTTGTTGAAATGTTACCTTTCAGATGTGTATTTTTCCCCTATTTTAAACTGAGGCAGCACTTGCACGGACCAGGTGAGCCCAGAGCTCGTGCTGTTCTGTGCTGCCTCTTGGCACAGTCATTTTTAGAGCGTTTGGAGCTTTATTTATCACCTATCAATACAACAGTTGAACTAAGTCTTTGCATTTGCATTTCTATTGAGGAAGCAGTCTGGTACTTCTGGAGGGTGATGTTCCTGGACATCTCACAGTTTCCACCCAGAGCAGGGACAGCCCAGGGACAGCCACTCAGACTCCTCTCGCTGCCCCAGCCCTGTGCAGAGTGCTAACTGGGAAGGACGGTGTCCAGCTCCTCTTCTGATTAGCAGGGCAAAGGCCAAAAGCAGAGAAACAGAAAACACCGCTGTGGGGCCCTCGTGCTGGCAAATCCCTTGTGAATAACTACTTGGCTTTAAAAGTGCTAATTACACACAGCAATGTTTGCAGGATCGGGCCCAATGGCCTTTTTTAAAAAAATTCCTTACCTGTACCTGATCGGTCTGTCCCCTTCTAAGGATTTTATCCAAGCTGGCAGCAAACAGGCAGGACAACGAGGAGGACATGGCCCTGTATTTGTCCTGACTGATCCTGGTCTTTGTCTGGGGACAGGTTCACGGGCTGTCAAAGCATTTCCCCTTGCTAAAACACACCAACCCCTGGCAAGCAGCGTGTAGCACTTATGACTCTCTCCTTAGCGCCACCTCGGTCTGCCCCTCATGCCGAATAGCCCGATGCACCTCCCTGCCCGCTTTACCAACGGGTGGGCTTTGCCATCCAGAGCCCCCGGCCGAACCCCACAGCGCCGTGGGGCTGCTCGGAGCGCGGGGAGCGACTTCCCCGACGGGGAGGTCCGGACTTGGATCCCGGCGTTCCCAGCCGAGTTGCACCCGCATCCCCTCTTACCCGACTCTCCCAGCCCGGCGCCCGCGGGCGGCGGGAAATCGGTGACGCCGGGTCCAAGGGTGCATCCTTGGGCGGGCACGGTGCCCCGCCCAGGGGCATATCTGCAGTCGGAGCTAGGGGAAGGAAAGGGAAGCTCCTCACCTCGGGCACCTGCCGTCCATCCCCCGGCGGGTCCGGCCGGGGAGCTGCAGGGAGCGGGGGGGCTGCCCCTGCCTGCAGGGAGGCACCGGCTAAGGGTGGGGGAGCGGGCCCCGGGG